ACCATCCACCCACCCAGCCATCTACTCCTGGTGCACCATCCACCCACCCAGCCATCTGCTCCTGGTGTACCATCCGTCTAGTCATCTACTACTGGTGTACCATCCACCCAGCCACCAGCTTGAGACCATGCTTTCAGACAATTTCTTCTGTTCCATGTCGTGCTTGTTGGTTTCTTCTCTGCATTAGGGACGGTCCCTTCAGCACATCAGCGTGCCAGAGGCTCGTTCGAGGGACAGTGAAATTGAGGTGGCCCACGGGCCCTGCTGAGAGTACCTGAGCGGCTGCGCTGGGTCTTGGCACTCTGGGGGCGGGAAGGGGCTCCAGTGCTCATCTCGGGGGTGCTGGGCTTTTGGGGCAGTGACCGGGTAGCCCTGTCTTTGTTCCTGTTGCTGCCTGCAAAAACCATGTCAGAGCAGCCACAGATGAGAGGGGGTCGTTCGTCATTCTGGAATGCCAAAGCACCTTCCATCTTTCCCACTGGGTTCTCACCCATGGCATGGAATACAGTACATCTCAGCTTTTAGTGTAGTGTGAGTTAACATGCTTCTCCATGCCTCATCTCATTTACTATTTCAAGGAACCTGCGGGTCTGTAGCCTTGTTAATGGAACACATAGACGGTGCTTTGCATTATTTTAATGACAATATTCTCAAACAAGTACCAACAGGCTTTTTAATATGTTTACATAACGAAAGCGGTGCCTGGAGCAGGCCAACATATTGCTCTGAGGTTCTTAATCTTCAAGTCCCCTGCTAGCCAGCAGGATGGAAATACAGATGGAGTAAGTGAAGAAGGCACAGATACAACACGTAAAATGATCATCTTGAGAAGGTTTCATACTGAGCAAACTGGGTTACAGCGATCATTAATTTAAAATCTAATAACATTTTATGTTTCAAATAGGTGAAATATGTGAACATCCTTAGGTATTTTACCGTTGGTTCTTGGGATGGACTGCCTGTCCCACTTACAGGCAGTCAGCCACATGGCCTGCTGATAACAGCTCAAGTGTGCCACTATGGTGAACTGTCAGAACAGTTCAGCCTGCAGAAGCAACCAGCAGTCTCTGACAAGTACATTCAGTACTTGAGGTATAAATATTTCCTGTACTGAACAGTTTGTTCAGCTCTCTGCGCTGCCCACCAGCTGATTTTGGACTGGAATTACAGATTTAGCACTCCTCTGGCATAACAATGGCCCTTAATAAACTAAAGCCTTTATTTGGGTCTATATTTCAGTTCAGCCCTTGTACTGTAGTACATCAAAACAATCTGTCAGCATGCCTAGGATCACCCATCCTTAAGCACTTCAAAGAAAAATTCTGTGCTCAAGATTAATTAAAATATTTTGCAGGATTGACATGGTCACAATTACTTATTATATCAAATCACATGTCCTCCTTTTTCAATTTCAAGAGCACAAACCTTTCAAGAGTAAGTTGTGATCCACAAAAACAGGATTTAATGTTTGTTTAAAGCTTTCTGCCTGTGTGAGGTCAAACATCATCAGCCTGAGTACTGCAACAGCCACAGATTAAAATAATGAGCCCTTTTTCACACAAAAGCGATTCAACTGTGACAAGACGCCAGCTCGACAGGGCCTGACGCAGGTGATCATTCAATTTGTGCTGCAGGAGCAGAGGTACTATGGAGATGGCCACATTATGTCTGAGGACGGATCACTAACTCAACTGTTAGAACAGAGGAGAGCTTTGCCCTCAATGGCACTGAAAAATTGCTGGCTTTTAGTGACTGTGCAGTTCTCTACATATTTAAAGCGCCCCAGGGCTCTGTGCAGCTGCTACTGATACAAACTGGCTACTCACTGTCTTTTAAGGAGATGGTAGGAAGCTTGGCCTCTGTTCGAGAGGTGACCCTGGTGTCCAGACGACCTTTGTAGATGTGTCCATCCAGTCCTAGGATGTCCACCTCCTCTGGCTGAGACCGAGGAAAAGAAGGGGCTTAGACAGTCAGCCTGATCTTTTATGCAGAGTAAAATACTTATAGCAGCACATAAAAAGGCCTATAGTTTAAAATGTTCTTTAAATGTTAAAACTAATTGCACAATGCTATTAATTATTGGAATTCATTAAAACTTGCAAATATATTCTGTTGAGAAACTGTGACGATTTTCATTTGACATCCTCCCTTGTTTTACTAATGTAATAGCCTATCAAAGGCTCACAGCTATGTGTCTTGTAAGGAAATAAAGTAATACAAAGCTATTTTATTTCCCTATTAAATAACTGATATAAATACAATATTTAATTTAAGATCAGTTATTACTTTAAGGGGAATCTTTAGGCAGACTACAAAATTTGTCTGGATTCAAAGTTGGTTTTAACTAATTATGGAAACATTTAGTTTTATTACGGCATTTTGTGCCTGGCAAAAATGTAAACATCAAATACTCCGGGCAAACATACAGAGTATTTCATACGTTCACTCAAACCACCTCATCCAATTCAGGGTCGTGGTGGAGTCAGAGATTATTTCAGCAAGCAATGGGTGCAAGGTGGGATAGAACTTGGATGGAAAGCCAGTCCATCGCAGGGCACACACACAGACACACATACACTCACACAAGGGCCACATTTCCCAGAAGCCAATTAACCTACAGCGATGTGAAAAAGAAAGTACACCCTCTTAAGATTCTCTGGTTTTACATATTAAGACATACCTGACCTTCACCTAATCCTCACCAAGTCCAAACAGTACATAAATCAAACCTCCTGTGAGAAATAGCACACACAGATTCGATCATTTCACAGAGTGCTTACAGTCAACCCATAATTCCCGATTCCAGAACAAGAGCTGTTAAGGAGCCTACCTGGTGGCGTAGTATCGGGGCCGGCTGGGCCTCCTCCTCCGCCTGGATAAAGTGGGCGATGTGCTGCAGGCGGGTGTAGCGCCGGCTGGGAAAGGTGAGCGTGTGGCTGCCCCCACAGCTCCGAGACACAGCCAGGTAGCCGTAGTCGGAGAGCTCCGGGATCCGCTCGCTTTGGGACAGACAAGAAACAGGTTCCCACACTGACCTCTCAGGACCTAAATCCTACACCTAGGCCCACTCTTACATCTGTCCATCCATCCATTTTCTAACCACTTTATCCCATACAGGGCTGTGCGGGAGCCAGAGCCTATCCCAGCAAGCAACGGGTGCAAGGCAGGATACACCCTGGATGGGACGCCAGTCTATCGCAGGGTACGCACAGACACGAACACTCTCTCACTCACACCACAGCCAATTATGCCAGAAGCCAATTAACCTACCTGTATGGCTTTGGACTGTGGGAGGAAAGCCATGCAACACAGGGAGAACATACAAACTGCACACAAATAGCCCCCAGGAATATGGTGTTCCTGTGCTGTGAGGCAGCAATGCTAACCACTGTGCCACCAGGCCACAACTACTGTTATGTATGGTTACGTAAAAAACAGTGAAGTAGTTCGTTCATCACCCCGATCTGCTGTTTGCCAGTGGTGTACTCACATCTTCTAGAACACAAAAACTTCTTGAGAACCACTGTATGATAAGCACTATCTATGGGTGGAACCACAACCATTAAGAAAAATAAACAATATGGCGAAGGGTTTTACACCATCTCATTTGTGACTGATTTCCTAGGAACAAAAAAAACACTAATTCAAGATCAAATAAGCATCTTCCTGTAATCTTAGCCATGAAACTCATCAGATGGAAAGTACTCTTTTCAGTTGTCAGCATCATTGTAATGTCTCCTTCGGTTTGAGCTGTCACTGGCAATAGACATTATGCACAGTAACAAGCAATTAATCTGCTACAATTGTCATTAGGTGGAAGGATGGAAATTATAATCAAGACTAATTGGATATCAGTGTGGATTACTGTCATTATGTCAAATTACAGCTCATATTTCTACAGAGCCTTGGATGTTTTTGATGCTGACATTAATATGTTCTGGATAAGAGATTCATCGGTAAGGTGAGACCACTGGTCTCTCAAACCACAGCATCAGATCAGACCCAGATAGAGAAGCATGTGCGTTAAGCTTCATAATCTGGTGTATTATTACCACTAAACTAAACTTCAAATGCTTCAAATACATTTGGAGTATAAAACACTGAAATAAACAATGCGCTTGTCCACTTTGTGTAATTAAGGGGTAAATGAAGCTCCACTGGGTTTTGGGACCTGTCTTGATCTTACTCACTGCCTGGGGACACTGTCGCTGGCTCTGTGCGGCAGCCCTGTAGCTGTAGTGCAGCGCATCTGGCTGTGCTCCCTGTAGCCCTGGCTCGACACTCTCTCTGACCCCCTGAACTGGCTCTGGACCCTATCTATCTGACGGCACAGCAGGGTGTGGAGCTGCCTCGTGTGAACCATCCTTTTCTCTGACGCTGCCATCTCGAAGTGGATCTGATTGCTCCCTGGCTTCAGGCTAAACAAGGAAACCGGGCGTTACAAACGAGCCGTGTGACCCCGTATCCCACAGGGGAGGTCAGGGACAGACAACAGACTCCTGACGTTTAGATGTTGTGCTGGAGGAGGGTGTTGAACTCCTGGGCCTACCACAACAACTAAAAAGTGATCTAGAGAGATGTGCTGATTTTTTGTAGTTGGTCAAATAATTAGGTCAAAAACTAAGAACTAAAATAGAATGAATTTCTGAGGATAATATCCGCAGCTTTCCAGGAATAGAGTTGTTACACAACTTCATAAGAAACACTTCTTGTAATTTAAGCTGATATATTCCATATTGTCAATCCAAGACAGGACATGCTGAACTTAAATTCATAGGGAGATGCAATTATCAATACAGTTGACCATAAATACACCAGTTCTAGGTCTGCAATGCAATGCATTTTTGTGCAAGAGCATCACTGTTTAGTTTTCTTTGGTGCAGCAGATAGGCTTGTTCACAACCAAACCACATCTTTCCCGTGGTCCTGAGGTGGGCCTTCTTGAGATGAGTATCTGTTTTCTGAGATCGCAAGAGCATGCAACAGATACGATGAGAGAAACTATCCCACTTCATCTCTTCTGCTTATTCTGAACCACTCACTGGCATCAGTAACACTATTGAAATCTTTAAGTACCTGATACTTTTCTCACATTTTCCACAGAAAGATGACAATCTGCAGCTGGAGAAGATGGAACTGTTAAGACCTAACAACACTGTACTCTTTTAGAAAAAACAAGACAATTGTTTGTTGACAGTTTTGCATATGTGCTGTGTTATCCACAGGAAACAGGAAAGACCTTCAAACTGTGTAGAAGAGCTATTCTTTTCAGAAAAAATTTAAAATATGAAAACTGCCACACTCAATGAGTCTTTCTATTCTCAGAAGCTCTCACATTTGCATGAATGGGAAATACAAGACCATAATTAGATCATTTTAAAGTAGGTTTGGAAACAGAAATATCAACAGGAACAGAAACTATTGTTTTAATATGTTATGGATTATTATGATACAATCAGCAGAATGCTCTAAAACGTCTAGCGTTTTGAATGAAAATAAGAAGCACTGCAACATTTAGGAGATCTGATGAACAGCTGGCTAGTTCTGGATGTTGCAAGAACTCACTAATACAATGCAAATCACAAGGTCATTCCCCCTTATACTGAACACAAGCAATAAAACAGCTCTCTCGACATGACTACGGGTTGTCTCTCCTGGGCCAGCATTAGTAATGTCACATTATTAAAGCACCGCTCTTTTTGGTGTAATCTGATTTCGCCCCAGTTTTGCAGTGTTTACGGAGAGCCTGCATTCCCCAGTAGCCACAGTCCAGTGAGCCGGGGTGATGCGGCTGCGATCCGTCAAACACGAATCCGGCTGGATCAGGCGGAGGTGCAGGCCCAGGGGTGGGCGTGTGTCCCAGGGCAGCGAGCAGCTCTCACCTCCGGCAGTGCTGGCGCACCTGCTCCAGCTCATACACGGTGTAGGGCCGGCTGGACTTGTGCAAGGGCAGGCTGGGCACCGAGGGCATGGTCACGACGTGCCTGTGAACGAAGCCCCGTAGGGCCGCTGGGGGTTACAGCTGGAACCTGTACGGTGTGTCAGTTGGTCTGTTCTTGCACTGCAGTGTCCAAAGTAGTTCCTGCTTAAGTGTCTTAAATGTTTCAGCTGGAACTGTCGCTTTGTTATGCATGCAATGTGTATTATTATTATTTTTATTATTATTATTATTACAGGAATTCATATTGGAAGTTTGTGTGTAAAGGACACCCCCCAAAAAATTCCACTAATCACGCGTCTTCAAGGTGGAAACATGCCTTTAGACCATGATTTACAGGTATTTATCACACTAACATCCCTTGACTATCCCAGACTGGTAAGGAAATGTAATACCTCCAATACTGCAATCCCCTGGGTTATTATAGGGGGTTCTGACTTCTTAGCTCATGTAGTTAGGAGGTCTTCCCCCAAAGCATGCTAAACTAAGACATAGCAATAAATGCCCCTTTATTTCAATAGCATTATTAAGGGTTTCCCTTCCTAATTATTCTTAATAGTAGTACATAAAACTTCCATAATGTGGTTAAAAGAAGCTGAGATCTATAACTTCATCATCCATTATGTAGCAGACTTAATGGCCATTGTGCTGCTAGTTTACAAACTGAATAACTTCTATTTATTTTCCTTTTATGCTATTTAGTTTTATGTACAGCCTTAGGAAATATAACTATTCAAAATGTCCCAGCCGAGCACGTGAGTACTACTTATTCATCCAGGTCCAATTGTCAACACAATTCTTGTAGAATAAATACAATTTCATCATCATCAGAACTACTGCCATGAGTATTCATTACCCAGATAGCAATTCCCAGTCCAGATGCTTCTTTCTATACCAATATTTTTTTAATATGTTATATAAAATTAATATCACAAATGGCTGAGATATCCCAGACTTAGATCAGGCCTGAACACTGAGCTGTATTACTTCCTTTCCATTGAAGACCAGGATTTCAATGGTTTAGCTTTGAAAATACTACAGGTTAAATAATCCTTGCACTTACGGTCCAGGAGTCAACATGTCCACTGGTCTGTCACAGGAAATACAGTGGAATCGAGCCACAAGCTGCCTGTGAGAGAGAAGAGACGTTTAGCCATCAATATCAAGACAGCAGCTAAGTGCTTAGCTGGCAGCGGATGCCAAATCATGGACAGCGTGTTGGATTGGACAGGTTAGGGATGGAGAGGAGCTCTCGGCCATGGCAGGCCTGCTGCTTCCTTACTTCCTTATACCAGCAGCGTCGTCCAGCTCATACTGGGGGGTGGGCTGCTCCTGCAGCTGTTTGCGGATTGCCTTCCAGCGGTCCTCCAGCTGCCTTTTCAGAGGCTCCAACTCAATGCGGTCCAGCTGCAGGCACAGAAGATACCAGCACACCAGGACTTACACCATCTTCTCCACAGAGCTACACAATGAGTTTTCATTTTCAACTTGGAGACTTTTATAATAAAGCAGACCAAGATTCTGGCATTGTTCAAAGTTCACTTCTGATGAGCTCATCATTCACAGGAAAATGGCAAGCTTTGCTGAATGTCATAAAATTTTCCTCCTTTCTCAGCTGCAAGACAGTAAAAGTCTGGCTAGAACACCCAAGAAAAGTCTTCTAGACAGATTATTGCTCACACTGTGCTCAAATTTCTGAGCTGATTACACTGTAGCTGAAGTGAAAGAATGTATAATTAGAAGCCACAAGAAGCAAAATGGTCTGAGAGCCCTTTCAACACTCAGTTTGATTTCTTATGAGTTGACTGTGGTTATTTCTAAAGTTATCTGATGTTTTTATAATCACTGAGCATTCTTTTTTGCATTTTCTAACAAGCATTGCAGAATTTCTTGACCTTAGCTTCAGACTGACATTGTTGTTTTTTTACACTGTAGTTAAGGCTCGGAAATGGGTCAGGCCAGGCCTGGGATGTCCCATTGACTTGCTCTACCTTGCAATCCATCTCAGCAGAGATCTTCTCGATCACCCTCTGCCAGTCCTGCTCCTGCCCAGAGATCTTGTTCAATAACTCCTGGAACATGTTGTTCAGCTGTTCGGTCGTGGTGTCAAACTGCAGTCGGCTCACCTTCAACTCCAGGGCCCTCTTGTCTGCTTTCTGTGGGAGAGAACTCGGATTAGGCTGACAAGTACTGCCCCCTTAGACCACCTGATGACAGCACAATTAGTGTTGTGGGCTAGTAGGAGCCTTTTGGTGGGTCACTGGACCCCTCTTAGTTCCAGGTCCTTCCAGGGTCTGGAGATACTTGGGGGTCATCTACTTGGGGAAAAGCTGAAGAAACAGCACTCATGTCTCTATTGTGAAATCAATGTGAGAAGACTCACAACATCAATGTCCATCTCCACGCGATCTTTGTCAGCTTTCTTTTCTTCTAGAATCTCCATGGACTTGTACAAGTGCTGAAAATGCAACACAAAAAAGCTTTAATACCTTCTGACTGGAACAACAACAGGCAATAGTTGTGGACAAGAGCTCCGATAAGGACAAATCTCTGTCCATGTCTGCTAATTCTGACTAATATATGCACAAAGGCAGAATGAGAAGTCATTAAAGCTGTGTCCTTTTGTATTGTGATTGTCCAAAGACCTAATTAATAGTCATGCCCACAATACACACAGTGCCCTCCAAATATATCCTGCAATGCTGCAATGCGATTAACAAAAACGGAATAACAGAATGATTTATCTATTGAATAAACACAATTTCCTAATATCCTAACAAAATTAAAATTTTATACAGTAATCTTAATAGCATTGCACAGAGCAAAATCATATTTGCCAAAAATAACTTAAGTCCAGAAAACATGAGAATCACATTTATTCACACCCCTTCAGAGGGGAAATTTATGATCATTCCTCCTTTGGTTTTCCAAATGCCATCCTGAGTTAGAATCACAAATGTGGATAGAGGTCTGGAGATTGAAATGGCCGGTCAAGAACATTTATTTGGTATGTTAACCACATTAACTATTGCTTCTTCAATTTGGGATATATGCTTTGGATGATTGTCAAGCTGGAATGTCCATTTCAGAGCTTGCGTTTCATTCCAGAAAGCCACATCTTTGTCCAAAATGTCCTGGTCCATATTGAAGTTCATGGTTCCCCATCGTAATAGGGGTTCCAGGGCATGTGGATGCAAAACTACCCCAAAACAGAGAAGACCCTTAGCCACGTTTCACAATAGGCATGAATGTTTTTTTCAAAATGACCTTCATCCTTGTTATGCCAAACATAATGCTGATCCCCATATCTAAAAAGCACAACCTTCATTTCATCTGACTGTACAACATTGTTTCACTTGGCACTCAACTGATGGCTGGCAAGTTGGAGTCACCTTTTGTTGCGGTTCATTCTCTGCACCTGACTTCAAATGGTAGTTCGGATACTTTCTTTTTGGAAGCTACTGTAGCTGCTTCGAGCTGTGACTTCTGCTCTCAACGACTACCCTAACTCGGAAGGATGTTCATCTATATAAGGTATTAGACACTCTTGAGTAATTAACGTTGTGATACAGGCTGGCCACTGGTGTCCCCAGGAATCGGATCTAGTTTTCAATTAAGACCTAGCTCATGAATGGAATTATACAGTAAGATGGAACAGAAATTTGTGAGGAAGGTTAGATCTTAATCTTGCACACTTCCGCTCGCCTACGTATACAAGTCTTGCACCTTTCGCAAATCTCTCCCTTGTATCCTCTCCGCCTCCCCCTCTACACCCTTGCAGCAAACTCCCTGTCAAGCTTCTGACATTCCCTGCGCTAGGCGAGCCTCTCCAAATACTTTATACGCATTTGTCCTTCTCTCGCATTCATTCAAACTACTAAAATCATTAAGATTCTTTGGTCATTCTGCATCAATCTAGATTCCCCTTTTCTCACATTTACAGTGTTTCTGTCTTCCAATAACAGATGTAGGAGATACATATAGGCATTTTCACATAGAGGCATTTTCTTATCCAAAGAAAACTCTTTTTTTCTTTTTTAAAGATCAGGACAGTTTGAAGTCTTTCAATG